GGTATGGGTTATTTCAAGCAACTTAAACCAAAATAAGCAGAATCAGAAAAATAATATGCACGACAACAGTGGTGTAAATTTTTTTAAATCTAAAAAAAGAATGAAAAAACTCTGAATAGCTACAATAACTTATAGTTCTGGAAAAGAAAGAAAGAAAGACAACACCTCCTCTGTGAAGAGAGGTGGGGGAATACAGAGACAGAATGTTACATTCATTATCAGGTAGAGTCACCATGTCAGTTGTTTTTATTTAATTACTTTTCTTGGTTATAAAGGAAGATTCAATTCCATTTTTGTATACATTTGTATGTGTATGTGGTATATTTTTTAAAAGGATTGTAATGTAAGAATAAAATGCAACAATAAAAATTTTAGTGGAAAAAATAATTCAATAATGAGGATCAATGCTACACTAATGGCATTGGATATAAAGAGAAGCAAATAGATGACACAGAAATGAAACTGGCAGGACTTGGCATATGTTTGTATCTGAACAATGAGGGAGAAGGAAGCCCAAAAAATAATAGCAACTCACATTTCTATAATATCTTAAGAGTTATAAAATATTTTCCTCCCAGTAACAATATGAGATATATCCTATAAGTATTATTTTCTCATATTTTGGTTGAAGGAAGTGAAGTTGGGCAATACATTAAACTGTAAATAAAAAGAGGAACTGCAAATGTCATCCCAAGTAATTGCCTTCCTTCTAATCCTAACTTCATTGATTTTGTTTGTGGCTCAAGTTCTGAGCACAGCTCTTTCTCTTATGTCTTTTAAATTCCTCCTTCATAATCATCTCTATATGGTAGAAGTTTGTCTTATTTGTGAGTTTTCTCTTCCTTACTCTGCCATCTTGTGACCCAGGCTTCCTTCTCCTTGTCCATGGCCAAATCACTGTTTTCTTTATTGCATTTGTATACAATGTTTCCCCCCCCCCATAACTTTCCCTTATTCAGCTCAAATAAGACCAAAGTTGATGAAATATCTATTCCCCTCATCCATTACCATGATTTTATAATATTTTTCCTGCCATGTTTCAAGTGTAAGAAATAGCATGATAATCTTCTGATTAAGATGGCAACCTGATAGATGATTTTTTTTAAAAATCCCAGCTCTCCCACATAAACAGAAGTAAAAAATCTGAAAACTGTCACTGGAAGGAAGGAAGGAAGAAAGGAAAGGAAGGAAAAGAGAGAAGGAGGTAGGGAGGGAGAGAGAAAGGAAAGAGGGAGGAAAGGAAGGACTTATTAAGTTCCTATGAGTGTGCCATACACTGTGCTAAGACCTTTATAAATATTACCTCATAACAACCCTGGGAGGTAGTGTCATTACTAGGCCCTTTTCATAGCTGAGGAAACTGAAACAGAGATTAAGTGATTTTTCCAAGGTCACAAAGCTAGCAAGCATCTGAAGCTAGATTTGAAATCATGTCTTCCTGGGCAGCTAGGTGACACTGGGCCTGGACTTAGGAAGACCTGACTTCAAATTCAGCCAAAGAAAGTAATAGGAGTGACAGGTTAATTACAAAAATATTTATTACTTGAAAAAAATTAAATGAAAGTAATCAAACTTAAATGGAGACTAAATAATTGAATCCACAAGAAATGGCACTTCAAAGAATAAAAATTAGAAATAACAATTCAGTTCATCACTGAAAATTATAATAATGAGACAATATACCAAAACATTTGATATGCAACCAAAAGAGAATCCTATGAGGAAGAATTATATCTCAAAATGTTTTCAACAACAACAAAAGAACAAATCAATGTATTGGACTTGGAATTAAAAAATTAGAAAAACATGAAATACAAAAACCCAAACCAAAATTAGAAATTCTGAAAATCAAAGGAAAGAAAAATAAAATTGAAAACAACAGAAAACATTTAATTCATAAATTAAACTGATACATGAAACATTTACTAATCTTTTAAAGGAAGGGGAAACTCATTTTACATTATCAAAAAATAAAAAATGAGAATTCACAACCAATGAAGAAGAAAGTTTCAGAAATTATTTTGATGAGGTACCAGGAAAAAATAACCAAGAAGATGGAGAACTAAATGTTTTCTCTGACTCTCCTAAACCTCCAAAGCTTTCCCAAGTAAGAATTATGCAGAAGATGGTAAACTAATTGCAACTGTCTCCTAAGGCCAAAACATCAAGGAGTGTAAAAAAGCTAATGACCTGATGAATTAATCACAGAGAAAGCCATTCTCTAATATCTCACATGTTCAATCAGTACTCCCTCCCCTACCATCCCAATGATCTGACAGGATGGCACAAGGGGACATCATGTGCTCTAGAATTCACTCAGCAATTTCATTCTTGCCAGCACACACTGCCCTTATCTTCACTCCTCCATTCTATGGCAACCAGCAAGAGGACTCAATTCTATCCACCATGTGAAGACATTGGGGTATAGCAGAATGGAATTATGTTCTGCTGGGATGTTATCGTGCTATCCTGCATCAGTACTCACCTAGAAAACTAAACAAAAGATGTAATCAATTTGATAGGATGACAGTGGGAAAGGGGGCTGAAACACATCTGAAGGAAAGGTGACTGGTATCCAACTGGGTTCAATTCTGTCTCCCCAGTATCCACTTAAGGCAGGAACTCAGACTGGTAAAAAGTTAATTCCTCATCCTCGCTGAGACAGCTTTGAGGTCTAGCCCTTGGGGACTTGCTGTCAAAGTGGAAGGAGTCAGGAAGTGAGTAATAGAGTGACATAAGGGAGAAAAGACTGAAATAATAAAAAATTTCAGGAGGAAGAAAATTTAGTTAAAAATCTTGGCATAAGCAATAGAGAAGATGTTAAAATAAAAGGTTGATGACATCTGGGACATCTAAATGAGTCCAAGCAAAACACAATAAATATATAAGATAAACAATACAAATCAATACCTCATGAGGCAGAGGGCCCTATGGATTCCCAAGACAGCATAGAATCATAGCAGCATATTCCAAATGGTTTACAAGAGAAATAAGAATTCTGAAAACAGAATTATGACATGAATAGCAGAAATAATTGGCAGAATAGAAAAAAAGATTTAAATCCATGGCAATGAGTCTCTCCAAAGAAATTAAAGAGAGAATGACTGATTGGGAATAAAATATTCAGAAATGAAGGACAATTTGGAAGAGAAATAAAGTCAATAACATTGAAAAGAATACATGATCTCTATATAAGCAAAATATATTGATCATGAGGACAAGATACACAGAAATAACCCTAGGATTATAGATCTCACAGAATAAAACAAGTCAAAAAACATGAACACCATAATGAAAGGAATAATTTTTTAAAACTCCCTAGAATTTCTGAGCACAAAAAAGTCAGTTGAAGGCATTTATTGATTGCCTTCAAAAAAAAAAAAAAACCCTGTACTGCAAAGTCCAAGATGCCATAAAGATTACATTTAGTAATTACAATGGAAAAAAAAATTCTGCAAGTGACCACAAGGAAGACTTTCAAATATAAAGGAATAGAAATTTGACTAATGTGAAAACACCCCAGAAATTACAGAAGAAAATGGAATAATATATTCCAAAGAACAACTGCCTGGCTTAGAGAGTGAAGGAGAAGAGATGAAGACAACACCAAGGTTTTAAACATGGGGTGAACAGGAAGATGGAGCATGATGTGCTTGGCAGAAATAGTGAAGTCTGGGAAAAGGGTGGTTTTGAAGGGTTGAGCCCCAAAGATGTGATTCCACAGTCTAGAGGGCCCCTTCCCATAGGGAGTTCTGGTCTAGGCTTAAAAGGACTCACCTGAAGGCTCACATGCTATCAAGAGAAGGAAAGGTTTCTTCCTTCCTGGCTCTGCACTCACACCATAGGAAACATGAAATCATAGAACCTCTACATCAAAGGGTGTGGACATTTGAGTCTCTTTGTTAGCATAATTTCCAATTAATTTCCAGAATGGCTGGACCAATCTATATCGCTATCAAAAATGTTCTAGTATGCCTGCCTTTCTATATTCTTTAGGACCTACTGTGTGCCAGGCACTATAAAATGCTTTATAAATGCTTTATAAATATTATCTCATTTGATACAACAACCCTGTGAGATGGGTGCCATTACTATTCCCATTTTACAACTGAGGAAGATGAGGCAAACAGAGATTAAGTGACTTGCCCAGGGTCACACAGCTAGTAAGTGTCTTGGTTTCTAGTCTAATTATCTCCTTTTGCAGATGAAGAAAAGGGACCAGAGAGAAAACTGGAAAATAGTATGACAGAAACTGGGCATAGATCAACATCTTACCCCCTATACCAAGATAAAGTCAAAATGGGTGCAGGATTTAGACATAAAGACTGAAACTATAAGCAAACTAGGAGAACAAGGAATAATTTACCCTTTCAGATCTGTGGAGAAGGGAAGACTTTGTGACCAAATAAGAGATAGAGAGCATTATGAAATGCAAAACAGATAATTTTGATTGCATTACATTGAAAAAATTTTGTACAAACAAGGCCAATGCATCCAAGTTTAGAAGGGAAATCAGGTGATAGCATGGATAGAGTGCCAGGGCTGGAGTCAAGAAGATCTGAGTTCAAATCCAGCCTCAGACTCCTTCTCTTACTTTCCCCTCCTGCTAAAGGGTCTTACAGTTCTTTAATTTAAATTTTCCTTTTTCTGAAGGGAAGAAAAAGTGAGAATGTTTAGGTAATAGTAACTATCACAAGTATGTCTGGAAAGAGAATTTTACTTTTCCTTCATACTTTATTTAAAAGATTATCTGAAATGTTCATTTGTTCTTTTCATATCAGGTATGAAAGTCCTTCTAATTTTGGGCCTCATACTCTTTGGTGGCCTGTTCACACAGAGCCTGGCGCAGCAAGAAACCTCTGAGTCCAGCCAGTCATCACAAGCAACTGCACCTCAGGCAATTGCATCATTTCTAGGAAACATTTCCTCATTTTTTGGAAAAGTGATAAAAACAGTGATAGATGGAATATTTAAGCCAAGTCAAACAGTAACCACGACAGCTGCCCCAACGGAGGCACCAACAGAAGCACCAACAGCACCTGGGACAGCACAGACAAAACCAACTCGGACAAAACCAACTCAGCCAACATCTCAGACCAAATTCACAAAGACAAAACAGACAACACCTCAGAAAGATCCTCCTCCAAAACTATTATTATATTTTGCTAATGGTAAGTTCTTCTGTGACCCAAGCCCACACCTTTTCCAGGAGATCCCCAACCTGAAGTAGAAATGTCACTGGGAGGAAGGGTAGTAGTATCTACTGGACAGTGGGAGGTGATTACGTGTGGAGTAGGTGCTGAGGCCTGGTGTAGGACCTCTTTGAGGCCAATTAGGTAATGAAAGAGAAAGGTTATCTAGCTAGAACGAGGCAATATGGCCTCTTCCCCAAATTTTATAAGCATTTCCAGCATAGAGGGAGGTGAGATCATCCCCACCAGTAATGCCCAGAAGGGTGTCTACAGTCACCAAACCATGACAACATGGTGCATTGCTACTATAGGTTTTGACTCAGATAATCTAGGTTCAAATTTTGACTATGCTAATTAGGACTTGTGCGATTTTAAATCATTTAAACTGCTTCCCACTCCGGCCTCAGTACTTCCTCATACATGTGGGCGTTGTGTGGTGGAGCCAATTTGGTGAAATAGAAAGAACAGTATATTTGGATCACTGGATAAAATCTGAGTTGAAATCTTGGCATTATACCTTACTCCCCCTAAGATCTTGAGCAAGTCATGGAATATCAGTTCCTTATCAGTATGATAAGAGGACTGGATAAGAGGGTCTCAAAGGTCCTTTCTAAAATTACATTTGCTCGCATTCAACTGGAGGCGTAGGCTGGTTGCTGCTTGTTAACCCATGGCCGCCACCAGACCCCCTAACCTCTCTCTCAGAGAAACCTGTATTGTCCTTGGGACCTAGCTCTAGTTCAGCCTCAGGTCTGTCCTTATCAGACTTGAAGGCTAAGCATTCTCTACCCCATTTACATGCCTTTGGGCATTTGCCTCAACTATTAGAAGAACAGCGTTGACACCTTTTCTGTGTCATAGCCGGTTTCATCTTTTTTCTTTCCTCACTCCGAGCTATCAATCTCCCCCGGGGCAACAGTAGCTGTGAAGGGTATAGGAAGGTCCTCTTTTCCATTCATAATGATCCCTAATCTAGATCACAGGCTACATGAGCAACAGGCTCACTTGTACTTGGCAGTTAACAAGGCAGCTCACAAACGGGAGACTAAGCATCAGATCTGTGTAAGGTTCTGTGTTCAGTGCTGGGGGTTATAAAACTGAGGCAGTACCTCCCCAAAATAGGAGATAATGAGGGTAAAGCTGAGATCCAGACAAAGGGCTCTGGGAAGTACTGAAGCGTTGGACATCACCTTCACTGGGCAGAATTAGGGAGGATTTCCACTGAGGCCAGACTTGAAGAAAGAGAATGAACCACTAACTATGCAGGAAATGGAGACGACTGGCGACCGGGTGAGGGGTGGGAGTCCATTCGAGTCATAAATATTTTATTGATCTTTTGCTCTGGGTCCAGTTCCTAGGGAGGTGCTGTCAGAGTGGGAGTAGGAGAGCATGTCGAGCCTCATATTCTGCCTTTGGGGAGCTCACAGTGCATATTTGTGGCTGAGGGAGGTGTAGGAACCAAGACAGGCCTGCCCAGGGCAGAAGGAGCTCAGTAAGCTCTACAAGAATATCAGTTCAGTGATAAGAAAATTCTGTGGTTCTTGGACACAAAACCTAAATAAGGACCCATGTGGGATCTCTTAGATGAGGGTCCAACTTGACTCTGAAGGAACCAGACTTGTTGGATGTTATTAGTGTCATAAAACGCTGGAAGAGACTGAAAGGCTCTAGAGTCCAAATCCATCATTACAGAGATGCAGACACTCAGGCATTAGAGATGATTAGAGACTTGCCCTGAGTCACATGAATAGTAAGCATGCCAGGTGAGTTTGGAACCCAGGTCTTCTGAGTCCTAAGTTTGTGCTCTTTCTGTTCTCTCCCTAAATAAAGGGGTGATATCGGCTAAATTGAAGAGATGACACTGGGCAGGGTAAGCATTGGGACAATTGTTGGCAATTCTGAGAAGTCAGTAAAGTGTGTGAAGCCCCTTCCTCTTTCTAAACTTCTTTTCAAAGTTTTCTCTTTGTAGCCTCCTAGATATTCTGAGCCTTCAGATTATCCGGAGGAAATCAATCGACAGATTCCGTGATATTGAGATTTGAGCCTTCCCTTGCCATTCACATTTCAAAGGATGACCTTTCAGACAATGGTTCAGAATTGGAATGCTTGGAATGAATGGAGGTAGGATTCAGGAAAAGGGAGGAGCTTGATGTAGGAATTGGGGGCTCTGTGGCCCTTAGGTTGGAGGAGTTTTCCGCAGGCAAGAATGTTTTTCCAAAACCATGCAGATAACTCTTAGCAGGTCACCTCACTCCTTAATGGATGAGACCAACTATTTATAAGTTATTAATCCAATCCCATCATAGTGCAGATGAAAAAGCTAGGGACCAGAGGGGGAATTTATCATGCGGCTAGCAAGTAGCAAGCAAGGCTGTGATTCAAACCCAGGTCCTCTGACTCCAATCCAGAGCAATGTCACAACATCAAACTTCTCATCTTCCTCATCGCAAACAAGTCAAACCAAGGTCTCAAAGATCCTCTTCTCCCCCTACAGATGTACAGAGTTTCTTGTTGAAAGAGAATATTCTACAGGCTATACAAAAGCTTTTCATAAAAACTGTGAAGAACTCACCAGCACATCTTAAACACCTACTAACACCACTGCAAAAAATGTTATCTTCTACTTCGTGAGTCCTCCCCTTGCTAATAAAGTTGGTCTCAAATCCAAATGCAAGAATCAGACCATTCCAGGCAGCGACAAAGATTTGAATGACAGTGAAGTCTATAGAGGACTGGACGGGCAGAGTGGAGAGGGGTATATGCTGGAAACTTTTTAGGAAAGAGAGCTGGAGGGAGGACCTTTCTGCTTTTCCAGTGAAGTCCACATAAGTGGGGATGTGGGGGTGGAAGGGAAAAGGGCATGATGAAGCAGAAGAGATAGCAACCAAGGTCGGGGTCTCCAAACAGAAGTTTAAAACTTCATTTAAGAGTAGAGAAAGAATATTAGATTTTTAAAAAAAATACCAAATACTCTTATGCATTGTACTAAAGCTGTGATGAAGAGGAATATAATGTCCTTTGAAAAACCTAGAGTGAAATCATAGCCTGGATGTACATATACTGTTCTAAGAACACATTCTAAGAACACTGGAGGAAAGACAGTGATTCTTTTGAATCTTCTGTGGCTCCTAGTCCATTGCCCTGACAAGTGTGGCTCCTTCAGAGTCAGGATGGACCCTCATCTAAGAGATCCCACATGGGTCCTTATTTAGGTTTTGTGTCCAAGAGCCACAGAATGTTCTTATCCCTTAGCTGATATTCCTGTTGAGTCTACCAAGCTCCTTCTGCCCTGGGCAAGACTGTCTTGGCTCCCACACCTCCCCCAGCCACAAATACACACTGTGAACTCCCCAAAGGCAGAATATGAGGCTTGACATTCTCTCCTACTCCCACCCTGACAGCACCTTCCGAGGAACTGGACCCAAAGCAAAAGATCAATAAGCATTAAATTGATGGATAATAAAAAAATATAAGTAGGAGTCAATAATAAAGAGAAGGAAATTATGCTGCTGCTCTGATGACAGAAACCTTCAGGCATCCAAGGGGCAACTCTAAGGAATGAGCTTTGAATAAGAATTGTGAAAAAAAGTGATCCAATTTCTTGTAATTCACTGTGTCTGGGGGATTGGCTGAATTGTTAAACCTCTGTAAACCTAAACCAGAAATCTGTTTCAGTTGTCATGAAAAAGAACAGATGGGAACACAGGTGACCTGCCATTCATGCCTCTCACTGATCCATGTGCGCAGAATAAGATTTTGTAGCTATCTACCCACATCTCCATAGGACAGTGTTGCCGACCACAAAGGATATGGAGGAGAGGATCTTCTGATTGTATCAGAACATGCCTCTGTTTCCCATGGTTGTTTGTCAGAATCCTCCAGACTAGACATCAGGCCATGCAGTGAGAAGGGCAATCAAACTGAAGGCCAATGTCAAGGTTCAAAATCTATGATTCATTTAGATGAAAAACATCTTCCCTGCCCTCACAGTACCATTCCCTGAGTAAAAAGGAGTGGTGTTTGGGAATGGTTTAGTTTGGGGTTCAAGATATACTGACACAAGTTTAGGGTCTTTAAACAATATCACTTGTTGACATCTCTCCTTCAATGTGACTTCTCTGTGCAGGATAAAACTTCTCCCCCTCAGTATTGGCGCTGAACAAAGTAAAGATAAGCATCAGCAAAATACATATGCCAGAACGGTTTTGGATGTAAACGTGAAAACGTGAGTGATCTGTGAACCTTGCATAAGGTGTGGGGGTGAGGGTGGAGAGAGACAGCTATCCACATGAGGGAACCAGATCCACGTGATTCCAATGTTTCCTGAGCTTGTCCAACATGACAGAGTTGATGAGTAGACAAGGGAAAGGGAAAGACACCCACTGCCTCATTGTAGCTCCCCTGGCCCTTGGACACACTGGAGACATAAGGCTAGCCCTGGATGACCAGGGACACCAGTTATGGACAGCCCTGAGATACATAAAAATCTCTTCCTGCCCTTTCTGGAGACCGTGTTCCTTCTTCTTCTAGTCTCTTCCTGCCTCAGTTACAATCCTCTTTATATCTGGAATCTCCTGGTTACAGCCTGAGGCCACAGCCCCTTTCTGATCTTCCAGACCTTTAGGGCACTCCCACAGGCCCATTCACACAATTCTGAGACAGAAATAGCTGAGCCTCAGTTTCTTGTTTACCAGTTCTAGCATTTGTGAATAATCATACTCTGCCTGACCTTCTTCCCAGAATTATTGGGAGAGAAATGTTTTATAAATTGAGAATCAACCCAGAAGAATGAAGAATTGTCGTTATTAATATTATTCCTGTGAGCTTATTCTTTTCATCTTTTAAAAAACTGTTACAAAGTGATACTTACTTTGATGTTTACTCCAGAACAGAAGTATAAATATTTCCCACCCAAAAAAACCTCGGTGGCACACACATACCCCACACTAATTCAATCAAAAGTGAGCTCATATTTAGTAAAGCTTCTAATCTCATGAAGTTCATGTCCAGAAGTGATGTTGCTTCTAGATGAAGCTCATTCTCAGCTGTGGCTAAGCTGGGTTCCAAGAGTTGTTCCTTGTTCTTCAGCACATTGATGCTGAGCTGGCTTCAAAACCCAGCATGGACTTAACATCCAGACTCATGGACTTTCAGATTCCTGAAGTCCAGGACTCCAAATCAGTTTTCTCTTGACCTTTATTTGTTTCAATTAGCCAATATCCCCCTTCTCACCCTCCCACTTCAACTCCCCACCCCCTATAGAGAATACAAGAAAAAACAATTACAAACATGTATACTCAATGGAAGCAAATTTTCACATTGGCCATGTCAAAAAAAAAATTGTCACCTACATTCTGTCTTCTCGTGCTTTTTGATGAGATTCAGACAGAAATGATCAAGATGCTACTGTCCTGCACTTCCTCTTTTATATTTAATATTTTGAAGACTGTTGTTCAGGAGAATAAGCAACTATTCTTTGTAATCAAATAAGAGTGTTAATGTTACTCTTATCTCGTTCTCCTCATATTATCATTATTGTTATTATTTTCCTGGCGACAAGTCATTTTCTGGCTTGTATTGTGCCTCAGGGTTTGGGACTGGCTTTGTATCTTTCTTGCCCCGGTGAAGGGGAGGGAGTGTAATATAGAAAAATGTTTGCTCTGTAATACTGGACAATTTGTTTACCCTTTCTTGCCCCTGTTTCATTTCTGCAAAATGGAGGTAATAGTGCCAGGCCTGTTAAGTATTCAAGTCTCTTATGAAAACCAAATGAAGCAATGTTCTCGAAAGCATTTTGGAAAGCCTGAGGTGCTTTAAAAGTCCCAGTTTCACTATGAGCAAATGCTAGTATGGCCACTGTTCATTACTGCATTCCTGTGTTTCAGTTTTCCATTTGCCCTCCTGTCTTATAGTTTACAACCTTCTTTGTGACTACAATCTCCTGGTTACAGCCTGAGACCATAGCCCTTTTCTGACTTTTTAGTTCTTATGACTTTCCCAGAGGCTCATTTACAAAATTTTGAGGCAGGAGTAGCTAAGCCTCAGTTTCCTGTTCTGGCAAATGTGGATAACCATATTTGTCTGAGCTGTTTCACAGAGTTAGTGTAAGAAAACTGATTTACTGTCCATTTCCATGATGGGAGGGACTCTGAAAACAATGAGGTTTTCTCCTATCCATATCCTTTTAGATCTCCTGGAACATTTACTGCTGAGGTAAACCTGATAAGCAAATGTGTCATTGGATAGCTGCTGAACAAGAAAAGAAAGCCTCACCTGGCCCTTGAGAATTATGAAACTAACCTTGGACTTATTAAAGTCAAGGAAATGTGAGTCACCAACGAGCTCTCCGGCTCCCATAGTAGTAGCGAATTCCCATGCATGGTGGGTATGGTTATTTATTACTACTCTTTTGACCTACTCTGGTCCATTGTTAAAAAGGGGATGGAACACTGTCCTGGATCACAACAGACCTGGGTTTACTTGCTGTCTGTGACTTGGAATCATGGAAGGCCTCAACATATAGTTGGGAAGATAGGTCTTTTCTAGTTCAGTTAAGGAAAGCTTCCAGTAAGAGGTATATGGAATTATGGAATAGGAGAATTAAGGAAAGGGGTGGGATGTATAAGGGGGACATGGCTGAAGGAATGACATGGACCGGGCCAGAGGACAAGGGCTGAGATGATGGATTTAAATGTTGGGATGGAGACTTTATAATCCAAATGAGATATTTATATCTACAGGGGACTGAAAGCCAATGTAAGGCTAGTGTAAGGGGGGAGAGGGGAGAGTTAAGCAATAGCAACTGTTCTTTGAATTAATGGAAAGGTCTGGGATGGTGGAAAAAATGATGAATTGAAAGTTATATATCCTGCATGGTTCCTCACAGCTCTATCATTTCTTTTCCATTGGACCTCACATCTCTGCAAGCCTGATTGTATATCTATAAAATAGGGACAACTTTTCCCCTGTCACACAGATGTTGTGAAGATTCTGAATTAAGTCACACAGAAGAAAGTGCTTTATCACTATCAAGACTTTTCTCAACCTGAGAGATTGTTATTAGCATACATGGATTTTTCTTCCTTACTTTCTTCTTCAGTATGAGACATGGATATGAGCCATCTCCTACTAGATTGTGAGCTCTGTGAGTGCAGAGTCCAGAAGAGTTCTTTGAACACAGTAGGCATTTCATAAACATTTGTTGAACATAAGAATAAAACTTATCTGGGACTCAGAGGCTGGAGTTTTAGACTTCTGGAACAATCATTCTGCTCTATCTGGGGAGGCCTTGATAGCAGGTCCTGCTCTTCAAACCACTCAGCCCTAAAGACAGCATGGAATATACCATCACACTGTTTCCACCCTGGCTACATGCAGATCACTCCTTCCAGGGAAACAGTGATAGAATAGGGCATGAGATTAAAAAAAAAAAAAGAAAGGGCACTAGATCCAGCATTTCATAAGGTGGGTCCAGTCCTGGTACTCTTCCTTACCATATGTGTGCCCATGGATGAGCTACTTAATCTCAGTTTCCTCATCTGTAAAAAAAAAAAGGGGGGGGCAATTGATTGAATTCAATTCAAATCATTCATTAAACTCTTCCTATATGTCAGGGTTTGGCTTGGACTGAATAATCTTAACTATCCTTTACAATTTTAAACCCTATTACAAATATTTCTAGTCATACAAAAGAGCTTTCCTCATTAGCCACGTTCCCAAAAAAAAAATAATCAAATGAAACAAAGAGAAAAAAAAATATGCTTCAATCTGCCCTCTGAGTCTATCAGTTCTACATTTAGAGATGAATGGTGTTTCATCATGAGTCTATGAGAAATGTTGTTGACCATTGTACTGATCAGCATGACGAAGTCTTTCAAAGTTGATTATCTTGGCAATGTTGTTGTTACTGTGTAGACTGTTCTCTCAGTTCTTCTCACTTCACTTTGCATCAGTTCATATAGGTCTTCCAAGGCTTTTCTGAAACCAGCCCCTTCATCATTTCTTATAGCACATTAGTATTCTGTCACATTCACATAACACAACTTGTTCAGCTATTCCTCAATTGATGGGCATCCCTTCAGTTTCCAATTCTTTACCACCATGAAAAGAGCTGCTATAAGTATTTTTGTACGTATGGGTCTTTTTCCCTCTTTCTTTCAGGACAAACAGGAAAAGACCTATTAATCAACTACCAAATGCCCTGAGACAGACTCTTCCTTCTGTGGCAAATCAAACAGCAAGTGTGGAGATGCAATTCCTTCTGGGTACAGAAAGTCAGAATGCTAGGTATAAGCAGTGGAAAGAGGCCTAGACCAGCAGTTCAAAGTCTAGGGAACTGGCCTATGGTTGGTGTCTGGCTTACTATGTGAATTTGTGTGAGCCCCTTCATTACTCTAAAGTTGTGGAGGGTTGAAAAACATGATATCTAAGATTCCTTCCAGTTCTGGCATACACCCTGTGGGCTAAGTCTTATTTATGAGATCAGATTGAGCCAAGCATTCCTAGGTATGTAGGGACCATAGATCAACTCAGATCAGGTGACCCCTCTTGGGATCTTCACCTGATCACTTCACATTCATCCACCCCCTGCCATGCTTATGTTTCAGTTCTACCAATTGATAAAAACCTTCTTTAAAGCAGTACATTCTACGCTGCAAGATTCCATAGCCAGTAAGTATGTGCTCTCAGCAATCTCTTGCCTCCATCTATAAATGTCTGAGTTTCCCAATCATTGCTTTTTTTTTTTTTGCCATTGTTACACTGGAGATTTAAGTATTTCATAAGAAGACCAAATAGATATCTTGTCTGCTAAATGTTAAAATCTCCTTCTAGTTCTAATCTGGGACCATCCCCTATGGAATAACTAAGTACCAAGTCAAAGCTATAGCTGCATGATGACTCTTGAGCTTGCCTGGAATTTCCTGCCTCAGAGGTGCCACTCTTCTCACATCCACCGGGGTGGGCACAATCCATGTTATTCAATGGTTCCCTGTGCTCTTGTACTAGGTTATCACTTGCTCTATAATATTACACTTTTCCAAAAATTGAATGAGTGATGGCTCAAATAAATGAATGAAAGAATCAATCAATCAATGAAGTGAGGGGGATTGGGGGATGCTAATGCCCCAACCAGATAGAAGTTTGTCCAACCATATCCTGTGCATTCCTCCTTTTATGAAGCCAAGCTATCTTTCATCAAATCAATAGACAGAGAACTGGTTGAATAGCAGCTCTTCAGAGTCCCTCAGTCCTGTTCTCCATCTTCCAATGTTAGAATTTGGTGGAAGTCACCACCAGGACCTCTAATTTTTCTTGATTACCAACACTGAGACACATGCTCTTTCTTTCAGGGCAACTGTACATGGGGGATCAGATTCCTTCCTAAACCTTCAGTGGAAGGACAAGCTTTTCCCCTCCAAACAGGTAAGTGCTATATTTTCCTTTAATTTAACAAGTTTGCAGAGAATTTTTCTGGAATAAGAGAATCCTAGAACCTAAAATATCAAATTCTAGAATCTGCATCAAAGCATCTCAGAGTCTAAAAGCAACAGAGGGTCTCAAAAAAGATACCACACCAACATTCACCTAAAGCAGGAATCTCGTGCTCTACAATACCTCCTATAGATGAAAACTTGAGCCTTAGGATATTGGGGGGGGGGGGAGAGAAAAAAATGGAATAAAAGGCAAGATCAAAATTTTAAAAAACACATGGAGATTCCCCCTCCCCCTTGGTCCCAGTCTCTCTTTACAATATGATATTGCTCATCTGGGAAGTATTTAGGCCAAGGGCAAAAAAGCACACATCATGACCCATTCAGAGTAGAAAGAGCTCTGAAGTAGGAATCAGGAAACCTTGGTTCTAATTCTAACTCTATCCCTGCCTGGCTATGTGACTTTGGGGAAGTGCCTTTTCCTCTCTGTATCTCAATTTCTTCCCCAGTAAATTGAGCAGGCTGGACTAGATGCTCTCAATGGGTCCTCCCAGCTCTTATGCTCTGTGTTCTAAGGCCCTTTCTAGTACTGATAATCTGTTTTCTGAGGTCTTGACTACTTCTACCATTCTACCAAAGTAATCTAGGTATGTATGTGTGTCTGCTCTGATTCTGATCCCTGCAGTTTTTTTTTCCAGCCTCATTAGGTTCTACTCTCAGTTTGAGGACAGGTGGGTGTTATCTGGGTGGAATCAGGCAGGAATGGCAGGTGGGGTTGGGGAAGAATGTGACAGAGAATCAAGACTTCCACTATTTTCAGTTCTTGGCCAGGGGAAGAAGATGGCAATCTCCTGTGCTGAATTTCCTCCTGCTCCTCTCCTCCTGTTTGAAGGATCTCAAGGCCAGAGGACAAATTGCTGGATTCAGGGTCAAATGAGAGGAAATGTTTTTAGTGTGCAGGAATCTTCCAGGCTTTCTTTTCCTGGGTTTGGAGACAATTTACACACATGAAAATTTTCTCTGAATAGCATATTACTTCCTCCTGATTTCTCTTATAATAAACTCCTAACTCTGTCAACATTAGTGGAATGGTCATTGCTTGTTCTTCCTGCCACTGCTCTAATTCCCTCAAGTTAGTAACCGTTGGGTGTGGGTACGTGTGTTTGTCATGCTGAAGCTCCCAAGGGCAAGGACTGAGCCCTGGGAGGAGTACACAGAATGTGTTTCATCTCTCCTTGCAGGACTTCATTTATAAGTTATGGGTAGTGGCCAATGTAGAGTCATAACTAAGAAGAGTAGCCACAAAGGCAAATTCACTTGGTGAAGGGCATATTGAATGTATGTACAGTTCAGGTAATCTGGTGACCAAGATGTAATTTGAGTTGAAGAGGCTGAGAAACTGGGAGGAAATCAAGTGGTTTCAGAAGTCATAGTAATAGAAGTGGATAAAAAGACAGCAAGTTAGAGACTGGATTTATTGGAAGAAGAGGGAGAGTTACCTCAAAAATCCAATAATTATAGCCACATGAATCTGGAAAACATCAAGTGAATTGTAAAGAAAAAAAGTTGCTGAGTGATTATGGCAGAGGGAAAAGTGGCAGTAGGGAATGAGGAGCATGCCAACTCTTTGCCTTGTCCCTACTTGTCTAGTGTTTTGTTCCTGGAGGAATAAACAACCAGACTGGGAGAGGGTTTCAAAAGATGTGGCTTCTTCAGGAAAAAGCTAAGCTTTAGTGAGCACTGGAAGTTAAGAGGAATGTCAGAAAAAGAGATCTAGGATGAAAGGAGATGTGTATCCTACAGAGGATGGCTCCTGAGGACACAGTTTCCGTAAGATGGAAAGAGGAGCATAAGTACAGAGGAGGGTTATGTGGTGGTTGATTAATAATAACTGAGGAAAAAATCTGAGCTACATGACTTTTAGCAAAATAGGCATAATAAACAGGTCAATGGACTCATCAGTCAGTGCAAAGACCTTGAATACAGAGACATATTTTTATGTATTAAAAGCAATTCATCAAATAAGACCAATTAATTAAAAGAAAACACTTAACCAGGATATAAAATTAGAGAATCTGATTTCTAATTGGAAGAAAGATTAGGAACTATCCAAGTTGGGAGTGGGGAGAACAGACAAGTGCTATTCCCTAAAATCAGAAAAAAGAGGTGCCCCACTCCCCACAACATAGAAACAATAACTGACCAAAATGGGGCCAGTTCTCAGATAAAACATGTGGGTTGCTTGAGATGTATAATTGTGAGAAAATGCTTCGCATCAGTCTTTGGATCTAACCTGTTTCCAGTCAGCATAATCTAGGTCCTTAATTAAGAGTCTCTAAGCAACAGATAGAGATGGTCCAGCTTCCCAGTCATGCAGGACAAGGTTCAAACAAGGCAATAAAGTCCTCTTACAATTCCCACAATTGAATAAAGTTTTCTCACAAAACAGAACTTATACTGGACCCATAATTAAATAGAAAGGAAACTGAACTAGATTCAGAGTTGTCACAAGATGGAGCCAGTGCGTTTACTTAATTGCAACAGTTAGGAATGTTTGCTATGAAAGAAATGAAGATGGAAGCTGGCACTTACTGCCTTCATGCCTGACCTCTCTCCCATTCTTCTCAGCCGATCCTTGGCTTCCTGTGTGTTGAAGGTTTAAGTTGAGGCCAGGAGCCAAGCCTTGCTTAAATGTTAGGAGTTTTCCAAACTGGAGGCTCTAAGAAATTATGTATTGACTCATAACTTTGTTATTTTAATATAAACAGCAGATGAAGGAGCTACAGGGACCACAGGGTCTATTATATTACTCTTAGGATTAAGGAGCATTATGACATGATATCATTGTTTAAACCTCTAAAGACCAAAAGAACAGGGAGAAAAGGGTGGTGATGACTATCAAACCATAAAATGCACCCTGCCAAGTGACACCTTCATCCACTTGTGTTACACTTCAATGTTTTTAGAGAATAAACTGAATCACTGTTTCATGATAAAGTCCACTAGAAACATAGTTATTAATCATATCAAAAAGTCGCTAGGAGACAGTGGTGTGATAAAGATGATCCCTACCAGCCAAGGGTGCCCACTTGAAAAAACAAAGTCAGGGAGCTCATAAGTATTACCAAGAGGTTTTTAGAGTATGCTAAGAAATTTCTTTGGGCTACAAGGCTCGCATTAAAGTTCCAAGTCAAAGATAAAAAAAAATATCTAATGAGGAAAAAAAGAAAAGATAACATTTGTGGTGTTGCATTAAGACAAATCAGTTAACATGTATCTTCAGGGACTCCAGAATAAAACAAATATGTTGCAAAATATGGAGATCCAAAGAAATAATTATGGAAAAAAGGAAAAATTATAACCAATTACATTCCAAAGATATTTAGAATTTCTTGGCACTGGAACACAAAACTTTTTTTAAAATGTTAAAAATTGTTTTAACATGTAATTGGGAAAAATAAAATATTGCATATATCAAGTGGGGGAAAAAGTTATTTCTTGGTACCTTTCTACATATGCTAGCATTCACATACTGGCTATTAATCTTGAAAAACAGCTAATAACTAACATAATGGCTAGCATATAGTAGGCACTTAATAAATGTTGACTAACTACCTTAAAAGTTAGAGCCTACAAGCTGTGAAACTGATATGTGAATCTATGAACAACTTGTCTCATACTCTGGAGAGTCATGGATTGTTTCTCATATCATCTTTGTATTCTCAATGCATAATGCTTGCCAAATGTTTCTTGGATTAAGTTGGATTGAATTGGAAGGTAAAGAGGTTACCATGGCAACAGTGGAATTTCCTGCAAATTGACCCTTTAATGGGGAAGGAATTGGGAAGCGCCAAACATAACCATAATGCATAAGAGACTTGGAGGAACACATCCCAATTAACCATTACTCCCAAGTCCCCCTCTTTGCCTTCTTGTGGCTTAGCAGGGAGATTAGGGGAGAGGGGAGATAGTTATGCACAGAAATGCCCAAATAAGAAGAGCTTTCTCAGGTCCCACCCCCTCAGCCTGCACCCTCCTACCCCCGACCCCCAACCATGAAGCAGCTCTGTACTTTCCTGATCCAGCACAGTGTGATGGAAAGAACACTGGATTCAGTTTAGAGACCTACATTCACATTCTGGTTCTGCTACTTACTGCCTGCGTGACCTGGAGCAAATCATTTACTCTCTCTAGTCTTCAGATTTGCGATCTATATGTAAGCCTCTTGCTATTGTGGTTGATAACGTGTATGTTTGGTATGCTAAGTGTTCACACACCAAGCAGAGCTAAGCACAAGAGTCAAAAGCCTCCATTGCTTCTATACCCTCGGTGCTTTAAGCTAACATAGCATAGTCTCAGGAGCTCAGACACCGATCTGCTCATCCCTTATCCTGCATAGGTTTTTCCCTAGTCTCAGTTTTCCTTACCTACTTCTAATTTGAAGTGCTGCTGAGTACAAAGGGCTGAGGTGCTGTATCTTCTCCTTCTCCATTAAGAGGTCTCTCTCAGCTCTGGACTCATACATGTGTTGACCATCCTGGGGGAATCTGGTTTCTAATGAGAAAAGTTTAGTCTTTTCCTTATATTTTTGGATATTCTCCATCAGAGAGATTGGTGTTCCCTCCAGATTCATGTTGGGGCAAGTCCCAATATCTGGGGCTCTCGTGACAAGAACTAGAGACCTGGGGTCAACTGGAAGTGATCCTCTCCCCCTCAGGGAAAAAAAAACAAACACTTCTAGGTGAAAATTCTTCTTGTAACATATAGGACCATCTTGTGTTTCCCCAATTGGGTTCCCCACCAATTTATTTAAAAGATCATCTAGAAGGAAGGATATTGGACACAATCTCTCGATACATAGGGCACCCCACTTTTCTAAAATGTGTCCCTGTAAATCCATGGATCAGTGTAGGTTTGAATTCACCTAACTATAAGTCAAAAGGACTTAATTCAAAAATAAAGCAAACAAACTCAGGCAAGCACCTAAACATATATAGCACCTCCCTAAAAAGAAATCAAACACTTGGTGTTGATTTAAATTCAACCTCTCAGATCCTGGACAAAATCCTACATCTAACAATTTGAACTAATACGGATCCAGGTCAAGGTGCTATGGCACAGAGCCATAAAAGGGATCATTTTAACTGCTCTAGATTTAGACATAAAATACTCAGGCTCAGTCCCAGAAGAGTCTAGCCTTTGATGAGTGAGTTTAGTCAACTTTTCTCACACTTTGGCTCTTTTCACTCAAACCTGGGGAAAATTTACTTTAAGCGTAGATTTGAGCTCACACCTAGGGTCTCCCAAAAGAAGGAAGTAGAAAGCCTCTCAATGTACATTATGAATCAATACACCTTCTCACTTATTCACACCATGTGTTTCTGACTGCAAAGTTTTATAGCAAATGATTGATAATTAATCGATGACAATCGGGAATGAGTTCAGGGACTAGCCAATGAGGGTCCAGTCATTAGAACATATATAGTGGGTTCTACTTTCTGCCAACTAACAAGGGAGGTTGATGAGCCTGCTCCAGAAATGCATAATGGAGAGAACCTTACTCAATTTAGAGTATGCACAGGTATCCTGACTTTCTATCTCCTGTCAGCTTACTTCATAGTGAAGGAAAGCCTTTTAATTGGTTGCTAAGTGGAAACTGAGTGGGCATACAAAAAGGTATATCAGACGAAATCTCTCTCTTCCCTGGTATATGACAATGCAAAATTACTCCCTCCTCCTGAGCTGCCAGAGGCTTCAATTCTGAGTCCTGAAGTGGTTGGCTGCATTTTAGAAGACCTAAAGGATCTATGATCTTAGGATCCCATGTTCCCTTAGGTAGTAATAGCACTGCTCTGCTCCTTATCCCATATATACTTCTTTTTAAAAGTTTTTTTAAGATATAATTTTTAATGAACAAAAATATTTTTTCTTTCCCTTTCAGTTCCCCCTCCAAAAAAATATACAAAGCCCTTGTAACATATATACACAGTCAAGCAAAACAATCCCCACATTGGCCTTGTCCACAAAATAAACTGATGCACATTTCTAATGGAAGATTTTCAGGAGGCTG